GCCTTGAAAAAACAAAACAAAAGTAAATTTAGCTTTCAATATCATATTTAATATTATTCAGTATGGCTAATCCTTTGTTTTTCCGTTTTTCTTTTACCAAATTCAAATCGGTCAAATCACACTGAAAACACCGGTTCTCGTTCGATCCCCGAAGTTTATCAAAATCGAGTCCAATTAGAATTTAGACACATGGCCTCACACGAACACCTGATACCTGTAAGCAATCTCTTATGATTTGAGATATGTTTCGGTTTTAAATAACCCAGAAAGCAATATCATTTGGATGCAAATTCGATAAAAAGGATGCATTTATATCATGCAAATCCTACATTGTTAAGTATTTTTTAGGCATTCAGGGTTGAATGCCAAATTGTCAAATCTACTCTGGCCAATTCTTTTTCCTTCTTTGAAAATAATTGTCATACCAGTGTGGCGTTCGTGAAAAGTTTTCTTATTTTATTTCGTTCTGTTTCTATTTCCCTCTTTTTGAATGTTTCGCTATTATCATTTAATTTTCTTTAATTCGTTTGCCTTCTTTCATATTAGTTCGATTGTCTTTTTCTTTTTATTAGAGTTTGTTTGTTGGCTTCTTTCATTCTGTCTTTTATTCTAATGATTTATATTATATGTATTTCATATTTTCTTTTACTTAGATTGTCTTTGTTTTCCTTTCATTCGACCATCCTGGGTATGACGATTAACTACATCTGCGTCCAGGGTAAGACGATAAACCACGTCCAACAGCAAGGCCTGTGATCAGGAGGTTTTGAGGAGCGTGGAACCACCTCTTAGTTGCTGGTGTTCCCAGGTCCACCCTGACCCGGGGTGTTAGCACCTGTTAGGGTCCCAGCTATGGGCAAATAGTTAACCCCGAAACTGAGGTAAAAAGCATTATAAATGTGTAAAAATAGGTTTTAATACCAGAAATACTTTGGAAAAAATATTACAAAAAAATAATATTACCAGTTATACGCTTTTGAAAAAAATATTACCTGCTATACATTTTTGAGGAAAAAATATTAACAGAAATAGATTTTTGACAAAACAAAAATATTACCAGGAAAAAAAGTTATCGGCATTAAATGACCCATTGAGGTTGATATACCGTAAAATAAAACAAACCAAACCAAACCTTTCATTCGAATTATATATGAATTTTTTTCAGTAGTCTTTCTTTCTTTGTCTCTTTTTTCTTATTTTTAATTTTCTCATTCTTTTATTTTATAACTTCATTGCCTTTTTTCTCTATCGACAAGATCAAAGCTAAGTTCGAATTCCAATCAGAAAAAAAAAACTCATATATATATATATATATATATATATATATATATATATATATATATATATATATGTCGAAATATGGCTAAAGCTGGCAATTTCAACCATAGAAAGATTAACAATTAAACAACGTGTTAAAGTTATCAAAGCCTATTACGAAAATGAACGTTCAAACAGAAATGCATTTCGCGCACTTGGCGATTTTGTTGGTCAACATAATCGACCAACCGAGAGTGCAATTGGAAACGATGTAATATTCCTGCGCGCGGTGACGAAGAGAGGGATTTGGATTTTCGGCCACATTCTCGTGCACTGCAACCATTTTTTCAGCTGAACGGTGTAAACAAGCACACAATGGTGTTTTCACATCTGCCACCGACCCAATTTGTTTCAATATACGAAGAATTTTTCCAATTGCACTTTGTTTGATTGTTAATCTTTCCGTGGTTGAAATTGCCAAAGACTTAAGTTGTTAAAACTGAAAGAAAAACAAAAAAATCATTAGATGCTTAAATTTAATTCACATTTAAAATCAGTCCAAGTTATTGGAACAGCCCTTACTGTTGCCTCTGCTTTTAGTCTGACTAGAAGCTGACAACATTAAATTGTACTCTGAATAATATCCTCATATGTAATCTCTATGCTTTCTTAACTTTTGAAATCACCAATTTCATCTCTATACTTCGATTAAACTATAAAACTCGATGAAACTCTGTGTTTTCGATTCTTTCTAAAATCTTTTTGGTTCTCTTTCACACCCAGTAACCCCTTGAACCTTAGTGACATTATTGCCTTGCTTGGGGTGAATTGAGTAAAAAAAAAATCTCGTGTTTAGCGGATGACGATCCCTCCAGTTATGGACGCTCTAGCCGATGATGCCGAAAGTTCGTCGCCCCTAAAAGTAGCTTATGGCCGTCTGAGAGTCAGACGATGGTTCTCCTCGACCTTCCTTCCTTCCTTCCTCTCGCACTCACCATTATTTGCAATGACTTGTTGTCGCTTATCAGGCTCTTCGATACTTTTTGAGTAAAATTCCGCATCTGAAAATGGCATTTATTTTTGAACGTCCATTTTCGTAACTTCGATAACTTTAACACATTGTTTGATTATTAATCTTTCCATGGTTGAAATTGCCAAAGACTTAAGTTATTAAATCTGAAAGCAAAAGCAAAAAAAATATTAGATGCTTAAATTTAATTCACATTTAAAATCGGTCCAAGTTATTGGAACACCCAATACTTTGAACTTCTTCAAAAGGATACATAGAATAAATACAGCCATCTTTAACATAACACCCTCGTCTTATCTCCGACTTCCGCATAGAACAGTCGTAATAACTGCTATGTTGTTTTACTTCGTATTTATTGCTATAATCATCATTTATCAAGGATCAGTTTAGTGGAAGGTTTTGAAGCGTCAATGTTATGAACGCTGTACATAGTAAAATACATCAGTGTAGATTATAATTTGAGGAAAAAAAAAACAGATTAAAAAAAAAAAATCCTCTTTGATATTTTCAACACGGTCTTTTTCTTTACACTGAATCTTATGTTTATTGCTAAGCTGGATTTAACGAGTAATTAACCATGTATCACTTTCACTGGAAGTAGTACAGAGATTCAACTGACGAACTTCCATTAAATAAATGTACAATCGAATAGATTTTCACCGGCGTTATCGACTTAATTATAGTGGAATTTATCGAAAGAAGTATTTTTGTAAGGCTTGCCTGAGTGTCATAGTAAGAAACTGTTAAAATCATGAAAAAAAATCTTCATAAATAGATAAGTATACCGCATATATTCAGGACACTGAGGTTGCATTCCAAGAATTGAATTGACCTACATTTACAACCCAGTGTCATTAAAGGTGGAAACGACTTTCTTGTCATTACAAGCGGAAATTAGTCAAGCTTAGTTTGAAAAGTAACCCCCAAATTCGTAGTTAGTAAAAGTAAAAGTTTAACAGCAAAAGGTTTTCAAAAGTTGCTTAAACAGCTTCTGTCTCTTGAGGCTGGGGGGTTGTAAAAGTTAGCACAAAAGCTGTGATTAGTAGAAGTAAGTAAAAGTCATAATTACTAACACGGGAAAACAGGTTGATAATACAAAAATATTATATCTTAATGAGAAAGTACTTGTGCATTTCCCATCACTGCTGGAGGTGGGTGTTCAAATCCAGTTAAAGACACGATTTTTACTGCTGATTTTCAAGGTAAGCTAGTTTCTATTTAGAAATCTTTTCTGTCTTTGGAAGGAGAAAGACTTGTGTATATAAAAATAAATCATCTTCTGTTATTCCTGTCGACCATAGAGGGAAACTGAAAGATAGTGAAAAATATAACCACACTGTTTGGGATTTGCAAAATCTATATAATACGAAGTTTACGATTCTAACAATAATCATTCGATAGGCGTAACAACTCTGAAAGTCATCTCAAAGAGATTCTAAGAATTAAAGATGAAATTTAAAAAATGGAATTATTCAAGCCACAGCAGTGATGAAGTAGATGAATAATAATAATAATAATAATAATAATAATAATAATAATAATAAGAAGAAGAAGAAGAAGAAGAAGAAGAAGAAATCGAAATCTCAAAAATGTGGCATATGGGAACATCAACAATCCCTGTTATAGTTGGAGCCCTCGGATTGGTTGGAAAAGACAAATTGAAGGGATTCTTGGAAGTTCATGCCTCAAAGAAATTAAAAAAATAATTGTTCTCACAAGTACAGACCACACTTTACGAAGCAAAGTATCTATGTAAATTATTTTTATTTTCTTTTGCCAGTGGAAAGTGTCATGATGCCATTTCTAACCTTAGGTCTCTGGACGGGACCCGGAAAGAAATGTGTACACGCCAGAAATTAAAAGAAATAAAAACAATAATAATAATATTAATATTCTCACAATAGCAAAGACAACATTGTTACCTGTTGTTATTTCGGCCTTTGGAAATGATATCAAAAGGAAAAGACAAATATGTAGATCACGTCCCTGACAGCCCTAAAATATATGAATGGTAAAAAAAAATCATTGTCGCGTGTTCTGATATATTGCATAGATTTTTTTTATCTTTGAAGTGACCACAGTTACATATCTTTCCTGTATGATTGCATGTTCTGATACAAAAACTTGCCTATTAAAGTCTTTGGTCGAGACTAGTGGGCAAAATCTAAACACTACTACTACTACTAATAATAATACTATTATTATTATTATTATTGTTATTATTATTATTCTTGTTGTTGTCGTTATAATAATAATAATAATAATAATAATAAGAAGAAGAAGAAGAAGAAGAAGAAGAAGAAGGAGAAGAAGAAGAAGGAGAAGAAAAATCTGCATTTATGACTTCCATTATGTAAACAAGTTGTATTAGCACAAACCAGAAAATAAAAAATAACAAAATATACTATGACTTTTGGAATCAAATCACCGTTGATCTTAGAAAAGAGAAAATCGATGTCTAAAAATATAAAATCGAATAAAGTCATTAAAAAAAAGAGAAAATTAGAAAAATGCCAGGACGTAGCATGTGATCTATATAAACTTGTGAAATCTGAATATAAGGGTCGTACACATAAATGATGATTCATTTGTTATCATGCCAAAAGCACGAAAAGCGAGATTGAATAAATTGTAAATTTGGTAAGGAATTTTGCAGGCCTGGATATTGGACGATTTCCAAGTTTAGCTAAGGAACGAATTGCTTATTTTCCAGGCATCAAGTTGACAATCCCTCCCTACATTGCACAACCAAATATCTTCTTTTTCTTCCTTTCTCTGCCGTAAGTTTAGTAAATATTTAACAAATATATCGTTGTATTCACAAGAAATAATTTCTTTAAACAGAAATGCATTTATTTTGCATTATGAAAAGTGAACAAAAATAATCATTGGTGTTAAACTCAGTAAGTTTCTTTAAATATGATATCCATTTCTATTAGTCAATAGCTTATTCTTTACCTTGTCATAACTTGCTTTACTTATGAGGTTCGATTCCTTCCTAGTGAAAATCCTAGTGGACTTGATGGTATCTCTAGAATAGCTCTTACGAAATGTTTTCCCGAACTGGCCCCTGTTTCCTCTAAACTCTCCAATAGATGTCTTGGTGTTTCTTGATTTTCTGCTTGTTGGAAATCCTCTTCTGTAGTTTCACTCTTTAAGATGTCAGGCGAACCATTTGATCCAACTGCCGAGCTTCTGACTTCTTTTGGCAAAGTCTTCGAGTTCCTAATCAACTCGGAATTTGTTAGCATCACATTACGCAATGTTCTTTTCTCAGATAAGCAATATGGCTTTAACTTCTTTTCTGATGTGTTAACGGTTATTTATGAAAGAGTCGATTAAGCTTTAGATAAGACTAGTGAACATTATTTACATCATTCGGACTATTGTCCTCATATTTGTTGCCATATTTATTACAACGTTTCGGCCCTTCAGTATCTGTCAATATTTCTGAGATGAGGTATTATATACACTATTTACATCAATCGGACTATTGTCCTCATCTTTGTTGCCATATTTATTACAACATTTCGGCCCTTCAGTATCTGTCTATATTTCTGAGATGAGGTATTATGTACACTATTTACATTATTCGGACTATTGTCCTCATCTTTGTTGCCATATTTATTACAACGTTTCGGCCTTTCAGTATCTGTCTATATTTCTGAGATGAGGTATTATGTACACTATTTACATTATTCGGATTATTGTCCTCCTCTTTGTCGCCATAATTATGACAACATTTCGGCCCTTCAGTATCTGTCTATATTTCTGAGATGAGGTATTATGTACACTATTTACATTATTCGGACTATTGTCTTCATCTTTGTTGCCATATTTATTGCAACGTTTCGGCCTTTCAGTATATGTCTATATTTCTGAGATGAGGTATTATGTACACTATTTACATTATTCGGACTATTGTCCTCATCTTTGTCGCCATATTTATTATAACGTTTCGGCCGAAAGACAGAAAGAATGGTGAACTTCGGCCTAATGCTTTGGATATCTTGAAGGCGTTTGTCATGTTTTTGCCATGTTGGATTTCTTCATAAGTTGAAATGTTAAGGCATTTCGGGATGAATTTTTGATCTGATTCAGTCTTTCTTATCATATAGAGAAATGAATATCATCTAGAAGCCGGTATCTATTCTGACGACACAACTATTTACTCATATATTAATAGTAAGTCTAGTCAGTTCAATGAGGTCAAAAAGAATTACCTACAATCTGTTGTTAATTGAAGCAAGGAATGGCTTGTTAATTTTAACGCCTCCAAAACGAAATTACGTTTTCCCCTGACATGATGTGCAAAGATAATATTGAATCATTTTCTAGGTCTGCTGCTAGGAAAGTTGGCTCACTCTCTACCACTCGTCCAGGCTCTGAATATTGCATAGTGCTTATACTTTTACGCCAAATATTTAACAGTGTTTTTCAATTTGTAAAACAAAGAAATAAATATAAATAAACAGAAAATTTTAAAATTAAATTGACGGAAAATTAAACTATATCCCCCTGAAAGACAAGGCTGACTTTGCAGTCGCAGACCTCACGGCACACTAATGTTATCACTGACCGTTATGAATAATTTACTTGTAAAAGCTCTACAGACACGGTTGCTTCTAGCAAGAAATTTCATTATGCATATCTCCAGCTGTGTCATGAGAAGGTTAGCTGAAGTACGGAATGGTATTCTGCATTGTGCAAGAATGAGATCAATTTCTGCTTTCATGAAAACGAAGTTTACGTATTCGATGTAGACACGGGGAGCGATATTTTCCCAGTGCGTATTTGCTCACAATATACAGGCTCAATACCTGGCATCATGTTGTGCGGAGCTATGAGTTAGAAATCTCGCATTTGTTTGCTGTCTGTGAAGGGAACATTAAAACAGTGTCAAGACCGCGTAGAAAACTTTGGAACCCGTTGCCATTCCTGCAAAAAAGGAACCAATGTGCTATTCCAGCAGAATAATGTCCGCCCACACGATGCTCGTGCTACTTCACATGCTATGCCAAATCCAAGGCATTTTCGCTCTTTGGCACAAAGGCTAGAACTCTTCTATACTAAACGTGTATTGGACATGTTGTGATACAACCTAGTTCGTTTAGTGAGCTTACTTTCTTCTCTTGCTTCACTACGTCTTTAGTTGCAAAATGTGTGGAATAATATATCACAGAATGATACTTGCAATTTATTTTTTATCATTTCACCCTAAGCAAAGCAATAAAACCAGTTACTGAATGTTAGAGAATATGAGAAAAACACTATTAAAGAGATAGGACAATAAAAGAACAGGTATTAAAAAAAAAACAGAAGATAACGGGTGATATTGAATGATTGAAATTCAAAATTGGAGGTAAATAAAGAGGCCAGAAGAGAATTCCACAAGCGAGAAGTGCGAAATAAGAAACTGTTAGCATAAGATTTACGGCTGCATCTATCCATTTCAGCTGTAAAATGATGATGCCAATACTGTACTGCACTTAAATTCATAGCATCCAGGTACCACAGAGGAAAGATCACCAGAACAATTTTTAAGATTGTAAGTATTAACATAGGATTAGAATGCTATTGATGCAGCCCTTATTTTAAAACCTGTGAATGTGTTGATCTGTATATGTGATCATTTACTGTAATCCAACGATATTATCTATACGTTCAATCCGATGTCAATTATGTCTTGAAAAACTTTTAAAAGACGGGCCGGCTAATGACAATAATCAGACCGAGGGTATTTTTATTCGTTGTAAGGATTTCTTTCTTTTTTTTCATTTTAGGTTTTTATCGATTGACGGGGATTTAGCAGTAATTTTGAGAAATTGGAACTTCTGGTGAGTAGATCTTTCTATTTATTTTAAAGCTGTCATTTATCTTTATCTATCTATCTATCTATCTATCTATCTATCTATCTATCTATCTATCTATCTATCTATTTTCTACACCTCTATCTATTTCAATCGTGTGTGGCTGACATTCAGCTAATACACACACTCAATCTTTCTCCCTCATACACCCATATATATATAAAAAAAGCAAAAAAAAAAAAAAAATACCTCAATATCAGAATAGACAATTTCAAACTGTCCCTTAACAGCTTTCATCAGCCACTAAGTGCTTGACTTCGGAGCGCTTATTTATGTATTTTTCAAAGCCAGTCTCTGGTTAATGGGAGTGGGTTTGTGTTAGCGATTGGTGAGGGCTTAAGGTATCTTATCTCGGTGGAAGCGGTCTGGGTTCGGAGTTTATTTATGGTTAGGATTTTTGTTAATTCAATCTCAGTTCCTACTATATGGTGTTTCATATAAAGGTCCCGACGTCTGTTTTTTCTGGGATTCACAGTAAATAGTTTTTTTCTACTATAAAGCGACGTGGGATTTGAACTTAAGTCCGTTAGGGTTAATATAAATTAGTTGAGTTATAGATTTATAGATTCTGAGTAATACCAGATCAACCAATGGAATAACTCGTGCTGTCCAATACACACATATATATATATATGTGTGCATTTACCTGATCAGATATATATGTAACTGTACGTATGCATACCCCCCCCCCCCAACATATATATACCCGTATTCTTATGTAATTTGGAATTTATTCGCGTGGCTACATTTCGTGAGTAATTCTCACTGTTATGTCTAATACAAACATATATGTATTGGACATAACCAATATATGCATATATTCTCTCGTGCTGTCCAATACATATACATACATACACACACATATATATATATATATATATATATATATATATATATATATATTGGACAGCACGAGTTATTCCATTGGGTGCTCTGGCTTTATCCAAATATATATACTTGCTTACTAGGAGAATCCAAAGGAGAGGATAAACCAATACAGTTTGGTACCAGCGCGGCTGCTAGAGTTGCCAGAAGGTAGCACAAAGTGCCGTCCATCCACCTTCGGGGCTCCACTCCGGGTTTGAATTCAGAGTTCTTCTCCTAGGCCAGTTGCCATCCAGGGCTATAGAACCCAGTCTGTCCTGCTATTTACCCATAGCTGGAGGGAGGATTCACACATTTCCCAAGGGTATTAGCACGTAAGTGAATGTAATGGAATCGACTGGAATTCGAACTCGGCTCTCCGATTCCTCAATCCAAATAAAGTCACAATTTATTTTAGAATAAGCCCAGAAACCTTAAAAACCCACTGTTTTCTTTTTTCGTGAAATGAGTTTGTATTTTGCTTTTAAATTTAAATAAATCGTTGTCTCGCCAGTAATTTACAATCGCCTGACGAGATGCATTGATACGCATTGAAACATGACTGCAATTGTTTAGAGATTTTGACATGTTTTCTGTGTAATATTTTTTTTTATTTGTATTGGGCCCTCTTTTTAAATTAAATGTCACGAACTTTTGAAATTGTACACTTTTGTTCTCCTCTTAACTGGATAAAAATATATATATATATATATATATATATATATATATATATATATATATATATATATATATATATATATGCATAGATAGATAGATACATATATGTATCTATGAATGTGAATAAGTTGATATACACTCACATGCACACATATATATGCAAATGCACACATATGTGTACCTGTTTTTGAATATATATTTCGAAACATCGATTCATGTATACATATATTATTCTATATCTCTATATGTCTGAGATGAGATATTGTAATTATTTACACTATTTACATTGTTCGGACTGTTCTCCTCACCTTTGTTGACATATTCGTACGCTCCGGCCTTCTCCAGGTGTTTGGAATTTCCTCAAAGACATATGGCCAAGTGGATAAAAGCGTTGGTTGAATCCAGTGACTTGACCCAAAGAGCTGTGAGTTCAATATGTGGCTACTGCAGAGGTGAAAAAAAAAGGAGATTTGAATTAAAGGTAGACAACTGATACTGATGCACCCGGAAGAGGCATGGCATGTGGAATTAGAACAATCAATCCCGATGGACGAAATAAAGGGTTCAGTTCGAAATGCCAATCATATGAAGAAGGTCGGAGCGTATAACAGCCGAAACGTTGTGAATATGACAACGATGATGAGGACAACAGTTCGAACAATGTTAATGGTGCAAATATATTATTTTACTTATCGATATATGTGCATAAAAACACACACACACACACACACACACACACACACATATATATATATATATATATATATATATAGTAAAGGTAATAAATCCGTTAATCCAAGTGGATCCTAGTAATATAAAATATTAAAACTGATCCACATAAAGAGCTCAATGTATTTATTATTACAGAGGAAAAATTAATACATAATAAAATCCCAAATCACCTCATATGGGGTATAAGCGTATTTCGACCAACGAAAAAATAAATTTATAATAAAGTTATATTTATTTTTAATTTTATTTAATAATAATTATTTCTATAATAAATTTTATTTATTTTTAATTTTATTTAATAATAATTATTTCTATAATAAATTTTATAAAACCCTCTTCCCTTTAAAACAAATACCTTTCATTCTTTCCTGACTACTGACTCGTGCCTTTCGTCTGACTGAAACATTGAAATGGATCAATTGTATAATAATTTTTTGACGGTTTTATTTTTGATAACTTTCAGAGTTAAATTTATAATTCCGACATGAACTCAGTCAATACCGGGTTTGAAGAAAACAGACGAATTCTATTTTTTCGCCGGTCGAAATTAGCTTATTCCCCACATGAGGTGATTTTGATTTTTATTGTTTATATATATATATATATATATATATATATATGTATGTGTGCATGCAGGCACACACTTATGATGGATCTCGTAAAGACTATTCCCATTGTTATTTATGTTCTTTTCTTTCACACTCACTACACTTATCTCTCTTTCATATTTCTATTATTCTAATAAAAGCTGACTTTGCATCTCTTTTCTTCATCGAGTTCGTCTGATTTATAGTTTTTGTTTGCCATCTTATGTTTATCCTTATCACGCTTTAAGAAGTTTTGAATACACGACAAGTAGAAAAAGTTAAATATATTCTTGAAATTTCCATTCAATATTCTACCGAGATTTTATATAATTTACATATTTCCATTTGGCAAAATTTTAGGGGCTTCATTTTCCCATGATATCAGCGAATATATATTGATCTTATTTTCATAATTGCGTTTGCTAGTTTTGCTATTCAACTTCAATTTCTTTTGAGTTCAAATAAACGTGATAAATCGAAACTGAGATTATTGTTATTGATTGTCTGAGTTACAGTGTTGACGAATGCAGCAAAACATCGGATAGTATATTTAATAATACAAACAACGCTGGATGATTTATGGGTTTCGATTGGCCGATATATATATATATATATATATATATATATATATATATATATATATATATATATAAGAAAAAAAATTTTCATTAAAAAGCAAGGAAAGTAATAATTTCTGATGGATGGCTGTAATTCATTTTAGGATAATTTATTATTTCGTCCATAATAAACATTTCTGCTACTCTTGAAAGTATCATTTTTTACTGAAATCTTCGAGAAAAGAGGTTGCGAAATTTTTCCATCATGATTTTACATTCTTGGAGTTAAAAACATATTGAATATAAATAAGGTTCCGATAACTATTATTGCCGTTTAAAGCCATGTAATATTATTAGAAAAAAATAAACCGTAAGAATTTATGAAGGTAGCATAATTGTTATTTTTTTTTACTTTGGGGTCAACTCATTCATGTAATATGTTTGATTTCTGCTCGGAGAATTAATATTGTGAAATTGGACCAGAGAAAATTAAATCGAATAAATAAATATTTAAATAGAGATGAATGTGAAATTATAGGATTTCTGTTCAATTCAACTGTCAACTTTGGCTTTGTCCCTAGACTGATCATAAATTTAAAGCAAGTTTGTGTGTTTCTTCTCTTACAATTCATATTTTACATTTCACTGGCTATTAAAATTTGAATATAAACATAAACAGTTTGCATGCAAACAACTTATATATAAAGTACAGTATATTATTTACATTATTCGGACTATTGTCCTCATCTTTGTCGCCATATTTATCACAACGTTTCGGCCGTTGTACGCTCCGGCCTTCTTCAGGTGGTTGGAATGTCGAACTGAACCCTTTATTTCGCTCACTGGGGTGGACTAGTTCCACGTGCCATGTCTAATGGATGTCCGTTATCAGTTATCTCCTGTTAATTTCCCTCTAAAAATTCTTGAGGACACATGGCGCAGTGGATAAAGGTGTTAGTTCGATCCAGTAACAGGACCCAAACAGTATGAGGTCAATCCCCTGTTAAGGCGGTGGAGAATTTTCATATAAAAAAATGTTCTATTTAGGAATATTGTATTATATAGTGAAGAAAATTGTTTGAGATTTGCATTTTACTTTGTCTTCAACAAGTTGGCATCTATTTGTAAAACTTTTCTTAACTATCAGTTAGTTATGTGTCATGCATGATACACGCCTAGGCGATCATGTATCTTTCGATACATGACTGACGAGGCAGATTTTTACCCAGGGGTTGCCATTTTTTCGGCGGTAGACAAGTTGCCATCCAAGGCTATAGAACCCAATCTGTCCTGCTATTTACCTAAAGCTGGGGAGAAGAAGAGGATTCATACCTTTCCAAAGGGTATTAGCATGTAAGTGAATGTAATGAATTCGACTGGAATTTGAACTCTGCTCTCCGATTCTTCAATCCGAGCCACTATCCATTACACCACCGTGCCTCCAACTTAATTATGACAAACCAATTTATGAATGAAAGGTTCATTTAAAATTTTTGTTCCAAAGATTTTCATATACCTCACTTTGCGAAGATTTTAATAAATTAAAAAACGCCACATAGGACGAACTGATATTAAACTAGAAACAACAAAGGTCCTGGCCATAAATAAACCTCAACCCCAGTCTGCTTCCCCCGGGATAAGATATCTTACGACCCCCACCCAATCGCTAACACAAACCC